ATATCTGCCAAGTGACCCTATGTAGGAGGAACAGTCCCTATTCTGCTCTGTGTCAGTGTGTGTATCAGGGATCCTTAGGACAGGTGTCAATCCATATCTGCCAAGTGACCCTATGTAGGGGGAACAGTCTCTATTCTGCTTTGTGTCAGTGTGTATCATGGTCTCTGAGGACAGGTGTCAATCCATATCTGCCAAGTGACCCGATGTAGGAGGAACAGTCCCCATTCTGATCTGTGTCAGTGTGTATCAGGGATCCCTAGGACAGGTGTCAATCCATATCTGCCAAGTGACCCTATGTAAAAAAGGCCTGATGAGATGAGCTGCCTTGGGCTAAAAATGGTCCACACGCTGTTGTATTTTAGCTCTGAATGCCTGTTGACTTGCGTGATTTATCCGCCACCAACTTGGGTTCAAGCCGCCAGTGTGTACTTTATAAATGGCTTTATAAAGCAGTGTGTACTTTATAAATGGCTTCACCTGCCACCCGTACAGCAACACAGTCTCCAGTTAGGAGGACAGACCAAGCATCTTCTTCCATCTCCCTGTTACAGAAATTACTGCTGTGTACACGTCCACTGATAGGAGACGCGGAAGGTATTAAACTGATAAAAATAGTACTAAACACACCACTCCTATCTGGTGTCACATTAGCTTGACCACACAGTGCCCCAAATTTGCAGTAAGAGGACCGACCAAGCCTCTTCTTCCATCTCCCTGTTACAAAAATCAATGCCGTGTACACGTCCACTGATAGACGCTGAAGGTATTAAACTGATAAAAATAGTACTAAACACACCACTCCTATCTGGTGTCACATTACTTGACTATGAGTGCCCCAAATTTGCAGTAAGAGGACCGACCAAGCCTCTCTTCCATCCCTGTTACAAAAATCAATGCCGCGGTATTACACCACCTCGGATAGGAGACGCCGGAAGGTATTAAACTGATAAAATAGTACTCAAACACACCACTACTATCTTTGGTGTCACATTACTTGACCAAGAAAGTCTCAAATTTAATGTGGATTCAGAGTAAGGTAAACGGTTGTCCATACGTAAGTAGTTGCAGCTTTTGAGGGCCCACACCACCGCCATGCACTCCTTTTCAATGGCAGTAAATATACTTCGCTGTGCAAAAGTTTACGGCTTAGATAAAAATCAATGCCGTGTACACGTCCACTGATAGGAGACGCGGAAGGTATTAAACTGATCAGAACAATACTAAACACACCACTCCTTTTTTTGGTGAGGCTTTACAGGACAGAGTGCTTCTCCACGGGACATGTTAACTCACGTGCAGCTGGCTCATCAAGGAACCACAGCAGCTTTCCATGTACAGGTAAGACACGTGCAGCCGGTAAGGGTTCAGGCTCTTCTTCCTGGAGGATACGCTGCAAGCCTGTTGAACGAGGTGACCTTGCTCGGGTCCCAGGTGTACGGTTCCAAAATGGGAGCCAAGCTATATACACGTCCACCGATAGGAGACGCGTGAAGGTATTAAATCAGACTGGTGAAATCAATACTAAAACAATACTACAAATAAAGTGTTTCCTCTCCTGTATGGTTCTCAAATGATGCTTAAGATTAGAAGCTGAAAAGCATTTCTCACACTCCAAACAAAAATATATTTTTTTAACATTCTCTCCACTTTGAACGAAATGACGTTTGGGAAGAGATTAACATAATTAAACACAGGCAGTAAAAATACAGTTTTTAGCCATACACTGTAACTTTAAAACTACACATCCCATCTTCATAATTACATATTTGGAATCAGCACACTTAAAACATAAACATAACCAAAAATCAGCCAAATCCATCCAGGGGTTAAAAAGTTAGCTGGAGGTCCCTTTATGACCGACCGCAAGCACATTTTCCTGCCCAAAACAGTTCCATAGATTTGGGCTGTGAGGTCGGTCTATTTCAGGCTGAAAAAACGACTAAGTCCCATCGCGAATGGGACTTAGTCTCTGCAGCTGAAATAAGTCTGAAAAAAACGGCTGAAAAAAAGACTAAGTCCCATGGCCGAATGGGACTTAGTCTCTGCAGCTGAAATAAGGCTGAAAAAAACGGCTGAAAAAAAGACTAAGTCCCCGCTGAATGGGACTTAGTCTCTGTAGCTGAAATAATTTCCCATTTACTGAACCAAGTGGGAAATAGCCAGGCAGGCACAAAGGGTTTGCACCAGGTCTGGGGACACAGGGGACACTGTCTTAAAGGGGCCGTGTCCCCAACAAAAGGTGTTTTGTCCCCAAAAAAGGTGTTTAGAGGGCCAGCACCAGTCACATAAAGAGTCCATAAGCCCCAATATGCCCACCGACAGTCTTAAAGGGCCATACACACCAAATAAAAGTGCATACATTTTCACAATCTCCCAGGGGCCATAGTCATGCGGGAGGAGGTTGGCAAATAGGCTTCTCCACAACCCAGGGAAGCAGGGCAATTTGCCATTTAAAGGGCCCGTTACAAATAGCAGTTTGTAACAAGGTGTCAATCCATATCTGCCAAGTGACCCGATGTAGGGGGACCAGTCCCTATTCTGCTCTGTGTCAGTGTGTATCAGGGAACCTTAGGACAGGTGTCAATCCATATCTGCCAAGTGACCCGATGTAGGGGAACAGTCCCTATTCTGCTCTGTGTCAGTGTGTATCAGGGATCCTTAGGACAGGTGTCAATCCATATCTGCCAAGCGACCCTATGTAGGGGGACCAGTCCCTATTCTGCTCTGTGTCCGTGTGCATCAGGGGCTCTGAGGACAGGTGTCAATCCATATGTCAAGGTGTCAATATGTCATGTCAGGTGTCAATCCATATTGATTGTGATTTAGGAATGTTAGGTGATTTCTGCCCTTTATGGATTAAAACCAGACTCTGTATCAACTGTGTAATTTTCCATGGAAGTTTTGCCATGGATCCCCCTCCGGCATGCCACAGTCCAGGTGTTAGTCCTCTTGAAACAACTTTTCCATCCCTATTGTGGCCAGAAAGAGTCCCTGTGTGTTTTAAAATTCGCCTCCCCATTGAAGTCAATGGCGTTTCGGGCGGTTCGCCAGTTCGCGAACATTTGCGGAAGTTCGCGTTCGCGTTCGCGAACCGAAAATTTCTGGTTCGCGACATCACTACTCATGGATGCTTAATATCAGACTCCTGTCCATCATCAGCATTTCAAGTTCCTGAGATTCTATATCTTTGGGAAAAACTTCCAATTCAAAGATCTTCACTTATGTTTAAGTCTGGCTCCCAGAACATTTTCAAAAGTTATGGTGACTGTCATTGCCTTCCTGAGAAAACACTGGATACGAATATACCAATACTTGAATGACATCCTTATTGGTTCACCATCCATCAGAGCAGAAAAGCATCCTACAGAGAGAGCTCCCAAATGTCTACACGACCATGGTTGGGCCA